CGATTTTTCAAAACGATTCGTAAATCGTTTTTCAGTTTTCGTTATGAAAAATTTATTGGGTTAATATCTTTGATCAGAGAAACCGATTTAGCATAATAAAATAAAAGCAACCTTATCGAGAATACAATGTTATAAATATCACACCCTAAATATCTGGAAACGGACTTGAAAACAAGGGCTCTCACTTCTGATGGGTATAACTTCTAAAATGTTATAATGCCGGGTAATTCTACTTTTTGTATGATTCTGTCTCTTGTAGTATCAATACTAATCACAGTGATCATTTTTAGATCACCATTTACTATACCATAATATAGAAATAATAATGACAATTTATTCTGCAAATTAGCCATCATTATCAATCAAAGAAATAAACCTTTTACACAATCATTATCAATCATAGAAATAAACCTTTCACATCATCATTATCAATCAAGCCTTTTACACCATCATTATCAATCAAAGAAATAAACCTTTTACATCATCATTATCAATCAAAGATATAAACCTTTTACATCATCATTATCAAAAATAGAAATAAACCTTATACATATCATCGTTATCAATCAAAGAAATAAACCTTTTTACACCATCATTTTCAATCATAGAAATAAACCTTTTACACCATCATTATCAATCATACTACCATATTTATAGTCTNCATAGAAATAAACCTTTTACATCATCATTATCAATCAAAGAAATAAACCTTTTACATCATCATTATCAATCATAGAAATTAACCTTTTACATTTATTGTGTGTCATCATGTGGGGTTCTAATTGTCATGCACTGGAGGGTCACTTACACTAACAAATTAAGCTTACCGTTCCTTCAAATAACAAAATCTCAAGAACAATATTATTTTGGTACAACGTGTCATAAACGTTAAGGTCCTCTCTCAAGAGAATAGTTCTGTCTAAAAACATGCCAAAGACTAAGGACTGCGAACTATAATTATAGATAATTGATTAAATATTATAAGCAGTGGCGTAAATAAGGGGGGTTATTGGGATTATTTACCCCCCCCTACCAACATTCCTGGGGGTAAATTCCCCCCCCTAGAATCCTGGGGGCCCTAGAATTTGTTTTTTAAAAAAAGGTTGATTTTAAAATTGAATATCTTTAACCCTATCTCTGCTAGGGTACTTTAAAACCCGGCTATTCCGGGGGGGTCAATTTGACCCCCCCCCCCCTCTAAATCCCATGTTTGATGTCCAAATATGACAAATGATACATCATTGAAAAGCTCTTGTGCTCTACTTTTAGAATCTGCAAAAAAATAGCAAATTTGCAAAAATTGAATTTTTTAAAGCAAAATTCAGTTATATAGTAAAAATGTTTGTCCAAAAAATGAAAAATTATACATTTTTGAAAAGCCCTTGACCATTCCATTTCAAATATGCAAAAATTTTTGCAAAATTTAAATAACCTGATTTTTAATCAAGAAAAACTAAAAATGAGCAAATTTCCTTTGACAGTTGTTTGCAAAAAATGTGCAATTTTTTTTCGCAAAACTTGTGCAATTCGTTTCCTTATGTCAAAGGTTTTCCAAAAAGCTAAATTTTATCAAAATCTGACAAGTGGAAGTGGGTCAAAACAAAGATTTAGTTTGTTACAGGCAGTGTGCCTGAGGACTCAGGCAGTTAGTATTAAAGCCCGGTTTTAGGCCTAAAGGGATGTATGTAGTAAAAGTCAGAAAATTTAAACAGCCTCAGACCAATACTTTTTGAGTTATGTAAAAAAAACTACAGAGGGGGTCAAATTGACCCCCCCCCCCCCAGCAGGAATAGGGTTAAAATTCGCACGAAAAAAATTCAAATGTGCAGATACTTCAAACTTTGAATTATTATGGTAAAGTATTCTAAGTTTGAAATAAAATATCAAAGGTTTACACCACTCTCGGTGCAAAGATTTAGGGATTAGAATATTTGAGTTTGTGGCAAAAACTCAGTTCCAAATCTAGAGAACATTCTGCCAAACTTCTAACTGATTATCATATTTGATAACCTGTTTATCCTCTTTAAACGAACTTCTGTAAAATCGAAAATGAAATAAGATTATAAATGTTGGTTAGAATGATAAATCATATATTCAATAACTTCAGGAGAAAACGTAACATTATCTGTCCTTTTTCTATGTAGATGATTAAAATTATATATATATTTTGATGTATTTTTTTCAAAATATATAAATGATTATTTCTTGTAATTATATCTGTAATTAAACAAGGTACTTAACAAATTTTCTTTGGCGCTCCGCGCACACATGAAAAGAATTGACTGACTTATATCGTTAATTTTACAGCTGTTGAAAGTATAAATGTTTTTAAAAATACAAGAAAAGAAAAAGATTTGAATTGAACACAGCCAAATCTCCATGCAACAACTGAAAATTTCCTTTTTTTCGTCGTCAAACACTTAAAAAAGAACTTTATTTTGAAATTTTTTTCTAAAGGGGGTGGCAAGCCCCCCCTACACCCAAGATATTTTGCCCCCCCCCCTAGCAAAAGTGCTAGTTGTTCCTCTGGAAATTAGAATATAAACAAAGAAAATATTTTTTCAAAGTTTTGCAGAGTAGCTTTTATAAAGATTTAAAAAAGTAATATATTTTCCCTAAAAAGTAAAACTATTTTTTATCTTACTTAAAATAAATTCAGTTGTTTACAGATCTTTGTAGTTAATGTAAAATTAATGACTATATTGAAGGGTATAAAACATGGTGAAAGCTGAAAGCCAGGAAATGAAGCCTTTATTATGGAGTTTGTAAATGCCAGAAAGTAGTGGAAAATGCAAATCAAACCCAACTAAAGCCAATAGTTTGATATAAATCATGATATTTTTCTAGGGAGGGGGGGNTTGTGACGCATTAAAAATATTTATCCCCCCCCCCTACAAAATCCTTATTTACGCCCCTGATTATAACAAATAACTGCATCACTAAAGAAAGTTTAAACCAAAGTTTCCAATTATTCCCTCCAACTTTTTATCTTCCTTTTAAAGTTTTATTGATAGTTTAAGAACATTGACCAGAGCTGGAAACTATTGTATTGTGGATACCATGGATTAATTTTTGATCTTTGTTTATAAAAATCCACCAATCGGATTGTCGTTTGCAGAAACCGAACAACCAATTTTAAGTCAATAAAATAGGAATCCAGAGCTGAAAACTTTAGAATGCAATATCCTTAATCCCGATCGGTTAATTAATCTGGAGATTAAAAACAAGAGGAGAACAAGCATTATTTAATCTGGAGATTAAAAAAATAGAGTGGATCAAGCATTAATCCCGATATCCACAATTCAAAAGTTCCCAGCTCAGGAGGATTTAGCAGAAAAACAAAAGTGTCCAATGTAAATATTGGGATCAAGAGATCTGGATTAGGGGTGTTCAACACTAAATTTCCCAGCTCTAGAACTTTGTCGAGTATTTTTAATTGTATCAAATATATGATATAGGATATATTTATTAATAAATTAATAGTTTTAATCTTCTCCAGTAGCAGATTGAAGTACTATAAGAACAAAGGAATCGTCTGGAGCAACAAGAACCTAATAAATATTTAAAGATATAAAATTTTGAAAATGTTTTTAAAACTTTGATTATCTACAGAGTAGAAAAGAAAAACGGTTATTTATACCATCTTATGGTTGTTAGATTATCTTGAAAATACACTTATTAAGCTTCAAATATGAGTGTCTTAACAGTGAACAATTATGTTTCATATTCATTGGATAAAAAAACTAAAGTCATTTCATTCCACAGTGTTATGGGATAGTATGGGACTGCTGTATAAACCACATACGTATTCCACAGTGTTATGGGATAGTATGGGACTGTTGTATAAACCACATACGTATTCCACAGTGTTATGGGATGTAACAGTATGGGACTGTTGTATAAACCACATACGTATTCCACAGTGTTATGGGATGTAACAGTATGGGACTGTTGTATAAACCACATACGTATTCCACAGTGTTATGGGATGTAATAGTATGGGGCTGGTATATAAACCACATGACCTGAAACCTGTAAAAAATGGATATTAAAGCGGCCGCATTGTTAATTTAATGTCCTTTCATTCACACAGTTGATGACATATCCAATTCTCAATGGTACTTCTAAAACCTTTGTCTGTTTGATAATGTGCAAGATATCACATTTATTTCTCAATTGTCTCTTAGCAAAAAATCATTTTTAGAGAGAAAACCATTGAAAAAATCAATCTTGAACAGAAAATGCTTTTAGAAATGTGGTTGTGAATCAGGACATGCCACTTTATCACTTGAAATTACGTTTCCTATAGTCCCTGAAAGCTCGGGTAGGATAAAAAGCATGATTTGAAAAACCAAAGAATAGAAATAAGAATGTAATGTATTTTGGAAGTATAGCTATCTGTATTGTAAACAAAAATCACTGACTACTGCAATTGGTGTTATTGTTTTTGTTATCTGGACTTCACAGTAAGATTTAAACAAACCGAAAAAGGTTTTTTTTCTTAGATCTACACTATAACTGATTATTGTAACAATAGAAGCTTGCAAATACATACGACAAAGAAAAAAAATAACTTAATTAATTAAGCGTATTATAACATTTAAGGACGAATTTTAACATACCTCATGTTTTAACGATTTGACTCTCAAAAATGTGAGTTCATTAGTTGGATCTAGGTCCCTAGATAACATTCCATTCATGAAAATATTAAATTCTGAAGTTTAAGCGAGAAATAGGAAATGATATCATTATAGGAAAATCATTGGAAGTTTGTAATGTAATATCTTTATAAATTACAATATTATAATTGACAACCTAACTCTGAAAAGGAATCCATTACTGGTCTAAAACTTTAATTTTCACATCCCTAAAACTTTGCAACCTGAAGGTCAAAATTTGACTATTTAATCTAGAAGAATTTACAGTTACGACTTTAAGTGAAAAGATATATGGATCAAAAAGTGAAATGAGGAAAGTAATTAGTTTTCTTTAAAAAGCTATCAATTATGAATGGATTTCCTAACAACAGATTTTGCTCTTTCAGCCAGTTGAGATACCATACCTCCGTACTAAATAAGCAAATAATATGTTTAAAATAAAAGTGTTGAGACACCATACCTCCGTACTTAATAAGCAAATAATACGTTTAAAATAGAAGAGTTGAGACACCATACCTCCGTACTAAATAAGCAAATAATATGTTTAAAATAAAAGATTTGAGACACCATACCTCCGTACTAGATAAGCAAATAATATGTTTAAAATAGAAGAGTTGAGACACCATACCTCCTTACTAAATAAGCAATTAATACTTTAAAATAGAGGAGTTGAGACACCATACCTCCGTACTAGATAAGCAAATAATATGTTTAAAATAGAAGAGTTGAGACACCATACCTCCGTACTAAAGTAAATAATTAAATAATATGTTAAATTAGAAAACAAATATTTTATATTTTGTTCTTTAAAACCTTGCCAACACATTTTGCTATAATCAAAAGAACCTGGAAAATGTTTCTGAAATTGGTTTAAAAAATAAAAAAAGAGGAGATTTCTGGGGTTAATATATATCTATTGTACAGTTCAAATAATGTGCAAAAAGGGATATTTTTCAACTTATTTCTAATTATACTAAAATATTATTGTGTAGAAAAATCAGTTGATAAAAATATTATTGTTAAGAAAAAAAAAAAAAAAAAGATGAATATCATGTTATACCTGGACAGTTGTAGAGTTGTCTAAAGTTGTTTTTAATGGAATTCCTTCATTGCTGATCACCATCACACCGCTCACATTCTTACTACTCTGAGAAAATATACTTTCTTTAACCCTATTCCTGCTGGGGGGGGGGGGTCAATTTGACCCCCCCCTGTAGTTTTTTTTACATAACTCAAAAAGTATTGGTCTGAGGCTGTTGAAATTTTCTGACTTTTCTTACATACCCAAAGCCCTCCCTTTAGGCCTAAAACCGGGCTTTAATACTAACTGCCTGAGTCCTCAGGCACACTGCCTGAATGACTGCTTTTGCCTGTAACAAACTAAATCTTTGTTTTGACCCACTTTCACTTGTCAGATTTTGATAAAATTTAGCTTTTTGGAAAGCCTATGACATAAGGAAACGGATTGCACAAATTTTGCGAAAAAAAAATTGCAATTTTTTTGCAAACAACCTGTCAAAGGAAATTTGCACATTTTTAGTTTTTCTTGATTAAAAATCAGGTTTTTTAAAATTTTGCAAAAATTTTTGCATATTTGAAATGGCTTTCAAAAATGTATAATTTTTCATTTTTTGGACAAATTTTTTTTTGCAAACATTTTTACTATAAAACTGGATTTTGCGATAAAAAATTCAATTTTCGCAAATTTGCAATTTTTTTGCAGATTCTAAAAGTAGAGCACAAGAGCTTTCTAATGATGTATCATTTGTCATATTTGGACATAAAACATGGGATTTAGAGGGGGGGGGGTCAAATTGACCCCCCCCCCAGCGTATCCTGGTTTTCAAGTACCCCAGCAGGGATAGGGTTGATAAAATGACAGTTTAAAGGGACTGAAGACATAATTCTAAGTGGCTCTCTAATTTTTCTGTTATTGTTCTGAGGATGATGATATTATATCTGCTATAATTACAGAATGTTTAAACCACCCCCATCAGTAAGTCTGGCACCTATTGTACTTATTAGTCAGATATAGTATGAACAATATACTACTCTTGCCTCCACTTCTGATATTGTGGTCTTTTCAAAATATCCTCAAAATAGTAATTCCAATTGAAGTTGATGAACATCTGTGGGATATACAACTTTATAAGCTTCTAGATTAATCCCTGATCCACACAATCATATATCTCCTTAAGGACGACCATTAAAAAATGAGTGTGCATCTTTTTAATTTTATTAATCTTTAGTTTTTAAATCTTTAATTTTATTAATCTTATTCAGAATGATTGAAAGGTTATCCTCACAAGGCTGTCTAAGCCTAAACCTTTATCTGCTCTGGTCCTATCAAATCTTACTTGATCACAGCCGCCAATAGTATCTTAAGAGGAGTTAAAGACAATTTGTGGGTCAGAGGGATGGCTGGAACCGATTTGCAGAACATAAATTGAATAAACTGACAAACATCTGCCAGAAGAAGATGGAGAAGTAGTCAGTCAATAGGGATACATCAATAGCAATCATTAGGACTGAACCCTTGTTGCATGGAAGGACACCAAATCAGTTTTAATATTTTTGGATTGTTTGACACCTGCAGTAGTTTTAATAGGGATGAAAGAAAGGCTGTTCAGGTACTGATTCCGGATCCCTAGTTAACCCTATCCCCGCTGGGGTACTTGAAAACCAGGATACGCTGGGGGGGGGGGTCAATTTGACCCCCCTCTAAATCCCATGTTTTATGTCCAAATATGACAAATGATACATCATTAGAAAGCTCTTGTGCTCTACTTTTAGAATCTGCAAAAAAATTTGCAAATTTGCGAAAATTGAATTTTTTATCGCAAAATCCAGTTTTATAGTAAAAATGTTTGCAAAAAAAAATTTGTCCAAAAAATGACAAATTATACATTTTTGAAAAGCCCTTGACCATACCATTTCAAATATGCAAAAATTTTTGCAAAATTTTAAATACCCTAATTTTTAATCACGAAAAACTAAAAATGTGCAAATTTCCTTTGACAGGTTTTTTTGCAAAAAATTTGCAATTTTTTTTTCGCAAAACTTGTGCAATCCGTTTCCTTATGTCATAGGCTTTCCAAAAAGCTAAATTTTATCAAAATCTGACAAGTGAAAGTGGGTCAAAACAAAGATTTAGTTTGCTACAGGCAAAAGCAGTCATTCAGGCAGTGTGCCTGAGGACTCAGGCAGTTAGTATTAAAGCCCGGTTTTAGGCCTAAAGGGAGGGCTTTGGGTATGTAAGAAAAGTCAGAAAATTTCAACAGCCTCAGACCAATACTTTTTGAGTTATGTAGAAAAAACTACAGGGGGGGGGTCAAATTTACCCCCCCCCCAGCGGGAATAGGGTTAAACAGTAAAATAGAGAGATTGTAGATATTTGGGATCTTGTATCATTCTAAAATTCCTCTCCAGCAGATTCAGATAAACAGTTTTACAGAGAGATTGAAATTGAAGATATTTGGGATTATCTTGTATCATGCTAAAATTCCTCTCCAGCAGATTCAGTTAAACAGTTCTACAGAGAGATTGAAATTGTAGATATTTGGGATTATCTTGTATCATGCTAAAATTCATCTACAACAGATTCAGTTTAACAGTTCTACAGAGAGATTGAAATTGTAGATATTTTGGATAATCTTGTATCATGCTAAAATTCATCAACAGCAGATTCAGTTAAACAGTTCTACAGAGAGATTGAAATTGTAGATATTTGGGATAATCTTGTATCATGCTAAAATTCATCTACAGCAGATTCAGTTTAACAGTTCTACAGAGAGATTGAAATTGTAGATATTTGGGATTATCTTGTATCATGCTAAAATTCATCAACAGCAGATTCAGTTAAACAGTTCTACAGAGAGATTGAAATTGTAGATATTTTGGATAATCTTGTATCATGCTAAAATTCATCTACAGCAGATTCAGTTTAACAGTTCTACAGAGAGATTGAAATTGTAGATATTTGGGATAATCTTGTATCATGCTAAAATTCATCTACAGCAGATTCAGTTAAACAGTTATACAGAGAGATTGAAATTGTAGATATTTGGGATGATCTTGTATCATGCTAAAATTCATCTACAGCAGATTCAGTTAAACAGTATAACAGAGAGATTGAAGTTGGTAACATATGCTAAAAAATTCTCTTCAGAATCAGAAAATACTGGTTTCCTCTATACTACTTGTCAGCCGGTATGATTGAGCTGTTGATTTTTGGAAGTTTCATGACAAATGCAATATTAAAATTTTGTCTAATTATAGAATTGAATATTTCCGTTTTTACTGTAATGGTTTTCACTTCAAACGATTAACATTAAGACTATATTTATTTAATAAAATTTTAATAAATTTGAGTGTTAAAAGTGGAAGAAAATTAGTAATATTTGGTGTTTACTTTGAAGTATGTTTTATTATTTATTTGATAGGATATTCTCCTGTTGACTTTGCATTAAAAATACTAAATATTTGAACTTTTTCTAATTCTAAACATGATTTACAAATTTACAGAAACATGAAAATAAAATAATATGGAAACCAACCTGAATCCTTTTCACAACTTCATCCATCTCACTAAAATATAATATAATTTAATACACTTCTATCTTTTTATTAAGTCTAACATTGGCTGAAATCATGCAATGCAAACAAACCTGAATTTTTCTAAACAAGGTATGGTGCTTTTATGAATTTTTACAAATTAAAAGATATTCACTGCATATTGGAAAAATGGAATAACGAGAGGTTTAAAAATTGAAGGATTAAAATAGGAGACTTTGAAAATGGAGATTTTCAAAAGAAAAACGTGAATGAAGAGGAGAATTACAAACTGCAGAAGTAACAAATATAAAATTACTATCTAAAATTTTAACAAATTAGAAAATAGAAAGTTGATTATTACAAAATGAAAAATGTCTGCTAAATGAAAATGACTAAATGGAGAATTCCTAAATGGAGGATTGGAAAATGGAGGTAATTTTCACCTATTAAGCTCTATGTGCTGATTGGAACCAGGAGCCATACTCTTGGCTGGGTTCATGGTTGTATGAGATCCCTCCATTTTTATCTGAACTTTATCCTCTGACAGTAATATACAGTACTCCATAAACCTCGGAACTCAATGTTGTCTTTAATATGAAGATGCAAGTGGCAAATCTCTATAAATGTTCAGGACAATTTCTTTTAAATGGTCCAATCAACATTTCATTGAAATGAAAACAGAAGACAAGTATTCCACTGTTTTTGAATTGAACAAAAATCTATAAGACTGTCGTTAACTCACGAAGGGTCGTCGTTTGCGGTCGTTAACAAAGGGTCTAGCTTTGTTAAGAGTCATTAACGAAGGGTAGTTGTTAATTATTGTAAACAATCGTTAACAATTATTAAAAATTAAAAACTACCTACCTTTGTTAACAAAACAACAAACTAAATCTAAAAAGCAACTTCTTCGTTTTTATTTTTATTACAATTTTGGAAAAAAATGTTTTTTTATCTGCAAAATTTTTAAAATTTAACTTTCATCAGAATTAGGTGAGAAATCATGGTTTGATTTAATCCCAAAATTTGATTGAATTATATTGATAATTTAAATTATAAAAAATCAAATTTAATTATTATTTCAAAATGGATTTTATCATTTTATCTAATCCACAACTTTACAAACAAACCTGTTTATTATTCTTCAAAAACTAGGAATAAGTCACAAATATAATGATTTATCTATACTATTTGATCCTACCCCTGGATTCTGGTAAACCAAACTAAACCAACTGTCTGAAATTGCTGTGTGGGTGAGGGGAAATATAAAATATTATGTCAGAAGGGGATTAAGATTTCCTTGGTATTCCCCACACTTGAATACCCATAATCCCCCTTTCAAGCTGGGCTTATACAGTATAAACCAGAAAACATGAGAAATTTATTTTATAATTTTTCAGTTTTCTTGCTCTACCAATTCTTTTTTTGACCCAAATTCTGATTTTCATACCAATATGCCGGTGCAACCCAATGTTGTAGACCTTTCATATTTCAAACTGCAAATTCTGTTAGATTTTAAAGTCAAATATGAAATATCAAAGGTTTACAACTTTAGGTTACAAAGATATATTGGGATTAGAAAATTTGAGTTTGTGGCAAAAACTCAATTACTTTGTAAAATGGTTCTACAATTCTAGAATTCAGTATGATAGGATTCCCAATATTTTTGCAACATGATGGTGTAAACTCTTGATATTTGTTGCTGATATCGATAATTAGTCATTCAAAGTTTAAACTCGTGTCGCACCGAAACTTAATGTACAGTTAAATACTACGAAAATTTTCTCTATCTATGAATGAAATGTTTTACCTATGAAATATCCTGTATATGAAATGTCCTGTATATGCAATGATCTGTCTATAAAATGTCCTGTCTATGAAATGTCCTGTCTATGAAATGTCCTATCTAAAAAAGTTTGTAATGAAATGTCCTGTTTATAAAATGTCCTGTCTATAAAATGTTCTGTCTATAAAATGTCCTGTCTATAAAACGTCCTGTCTATAAAATATCCTGTCTATAAAATGTCATGTCTATAAAATGTCATGACTAAGAAATTTCCTATTTATGTCCTGTCTATGAAATGTCCTGTATATGAAATGTCCTGTCTATGAAATGTCCTATCTAAAAAAAATGGTGAATGAAATGTCCTGTCTATGAAATGTCCTGTCTAAGAAATGTCTTGTTTATGAAATGTATTGTTTATAAAATATCCTGTCTATAAAATGTCCTGTCCATAAAACGTCCTGTCTATAAAATATCCTGTCTATAAAATGTCCAGTATATAAAATGTCCTGTCTGTAAAAGGTCCTGTATATAAAATGTCCTGTCTATAAAATGTCCTCTTTATAAAATATCCTGTTTATAAAATGTCCTGTCTATGAAATGTCCTCTTTATAAAATATCCTGTTTATAAAATGTCCTGTCTATGAAATGTCCTCTTTATAAAATATCCGGTTTATAAAATGTCCTGTCTATGAAATATCCTGTCTATAAAATGTCCTGTCTATGAAATGTCCTGTTTATAAAATGTCCTTTTTATAAAATATCCTGCTTATAAAATGTCTTGTCTATGAAATGTCCTCTTTATAAAATATCCTGTTTATAAAAATGTCCTGTCTATGAAATGTCCTGTCTATAAAATGTCCTGTCTATGAAATGTCCTGTTTATAAAATGTCCTGTTTATAAAATGTCCTGTTTATGAAATGTAGTGTTTATAAAATGTCCTGTATATAAAATGTCCTGTCTATAAAGCGTCCTCTTTATAAAATATCCTGTTTATAAAATGTCCTGTCTATAAAATGCCTTGTCTATAAAATGCCCTGTCTATAAAATGTCCTGTCTATAAAATCTACTGTTTATAAAATGTCCTGTCTATAAAACGTCCTGTCTATAAAATTTCCTGTCTATAAAATGTCCTGTCTGTAAAATGTCCTGTCTATTAAATGTCCTGTCTATGAAATGTCCTGTTTATAAAATGTCTTGTATTTAAATTCTGTATTATCACTAGATGACAATGGTTTGAAGACTGATAAGTTGTTTTCTAACTTTTATCAATATCAAGTATTGACTACATAGTGGCATAGGTCTAGAATACCTTTAACCCTCTCTGGGGGGGGGGGCCTTTCATTCTTTCTAAAATAAGAAAGATTATAAAATAAAAACTACATTTGAATGCTCCAAATTAAATCCAACATTTTTTGACTAGTATTTGAAATAATTGGATTGTTTAAAATCTGGTAAAATGATGCTACTAATCGTTTTTGAAAACGATCATTAAACGATCGTTTTTTGTTTTGTTTTTGATCATTTTCATAAACGATCTTTTTGTTTTCGAAAAAAACTATCGTTTTTAAATACGATCCACTCGGTTTTATCTTAAAGAAAACAAATAACGATCGTTTTTAAAAATAATCGTTTTTATAAAAACAATCCGTGATTGTTTTTTTACAATTGCTTTTTTAAAGGATTGTTTTTAAAAAACAATGATATAAAAAAATTGTCATAGGTAAATATATGTCAACGATTGTTAACGAAGGGTCGTCATTAATGATTGTTAACAAAGGGTTGTCGTTACTCATTGTTAACGAAATGACGAACTTATAAAAACTGTCATTTTTGAAAAAAAGATCGTTAAAAAAACTTCATGCAACTTTATTGAATGTTGTCTTACATGAAGGTAAAAAGTTGTGGGAGAGCTTAAACTTCTTGATACAGAGTGTCCCACGAAACATGACAGTATGCAGGACGACTTGAATGTCGTCTTGATTTTTGATATAATTTGCTGCGTTTATTTGTCAACCTAATTTTAGAAGTAAATTTCTAGAGATAATAACCACAAAATTTCCCTTGTCCTGCCATTTCCAAAATGTGGTCTGCCTTTTTTGTGCTTTCAATATTGCCCGAGATATGAAGAATTTCGTTCAGATTTCGACAATTTTGCTTTTATTTAACAAAATTAAAATCTGAACCAAACTCTTTATATCTCCGGTAATATTGAAAGCACAAAAAACGCAGACCACTTTTTGGAAATGCCAGGGCTAGGAGAATTATGTGATAATTGTTTCAAGAATCATGCATGTTAAAGTAGATATAGAAGACTAAATGTCACAAATAAATTCAAATACCAAAGACGACTTCCAAGTCGTCTTGCTATTTTCATGTTTCGTGGGTATTTACTTTAAAAGTGCTCGGCCTTCAGGGTGGAATTTCTTCTCTCCTCCTCTCTTTGTTAACGATTGTTAACGAAGGGTTGTCATTAAAAATTGTTAACAAAGGGTCGTCGTTAAAGATCGTTAACAAAGGGACGTCGTTAACGATCGTTAACGAAACCACAAACTTATAAAAACGATCATTTTTAAAACGACCATTTAAAAAAAGCGAACATTTTTAACACGATCATTTTTTTAAAAAAACAATCATTTCGTTTTCGTTTTTTGTTGTCATTTTCATAACGAAACGATCCTTTAAAAAAAAGAAAACGTTAACTTCTATACTTTTGATTTTAAGGCATTTTTAAACATTGTTTAAATTTAATTAAATCATTTAAGTCAAATTTAATGTCTTATAAAATTATATCAATTTTCAAAAATTTTCTTTTTTTAAAGACAAAACAAATTATGGGTCCGTCCAATTTTTGGCCCCCCCAGGCCCCCCTCCCTCCTATCAATTTTGTACATGACGAAACTAGTAAATTAGTATTTATTTATTATTATTTAGGGGTTTAAAAATCTTTATTAGAACGGACCCCAAACAGTAATCTCATGGTACGTGACGACCCAAAATAAGGTCAAAATTCTAGCTTTATCAAATAAACAAATCAAATGCGTTGACGCCATTTCCCAACTGGAACGGTGGATTCTCATTTGAACTACTGCCGTTTGAACTATGGTACGTTTGAACTATTGTTCTTTTGAACTATTACGTTCATTTGAACTACTGACATGACGATCCTGTAGTTTAAATCAACACATTTCTTGCTGAATTGGACTATTTTTCTCTACCCCTCAGTTTTAAATTCCCATAAGTTATAGTTCATGACAATTAATTAACCATTACACAGAAATGTTATAAATAAACATAAAAATAGTTTAAATTAACAAAAAATAGTTCAAATGAACATTAAAATAGTTCAAATGAACATAAAAATAGTTCGAATGAACAAAAAAATAGTTCAAATGAACGTAAAAATAGTTCAAATGAATTCATGAAAATAGTTCAAATGAAAAAAATTGTTCAAATGAACATAAAAATAGTTCAAATCAAATAGTTCAAATGAAAAAAAATAGTTCAAATGAAATAGTTCAAATGAAAAAAAAGTTGAAATGAACTTAAAATATAGTTTAAATGAAAAGTTCAAATGAAATAGTTCAAACGAACAAAAAAGTCGTTCAAATGAGAAAAAAATATTTCAAATGAAAATGACAAAAAAATAGTTAAAATGAACAAAACAATTTTAATTAGATAACAATTGCTCAGAAATGTTTTAAATAAACATAAAAATAGTTTAAATTAACAAAAAAATATAGATCAAATGAACA